ACCAAAAGTATCTATTGACTGTAGTTTCCTTTGATCATTCGAAATTGAAGAGTTAAGAACTTCTTAGTACCATTTAGCATATAAATGAAATTTACCTATAAAATAATATTATAGTATTTGCCATTTGGTTACATTAGTCATTAAGTTACCTATTACCTATTTATAATGTTTTCATAATATTGATCGTAGTATTTTTTACTATATATAGCGTTTATATTTGACTTTATGGAACATATTTGATCTAAACTATATTTTTATAGCATGGGGTGTCCATTTTTATTAACTATTATTAATTTATTWATTATATTTTTTTTCAATATTAAAAATATAAGAAAAGAGAAAAATTAAATCTGTATACACAAACAATACAATGAGAAAATGAGTTTATATTTTTATAGAAATTTGGCTGTATTCATAGTCATATAATATTAAATTTCGTACACACCGACACACCGTAAATCGTAATCAAGTACGTTTAAAATATTACACGAGTAATACCTTTAAATTTGTTGTTCTAATTATATTTCTATAAATATTTTACAAAAACTTTCTTTTTTTTTACCAATATAATAAAGCAGCCCACACATGGACTGTCCCATCTGGAAGATTCTCAATTTATCCATAGACTAGCCCGCCCCTAATATAACACTATTGTTGAGAAGTAATAAGTAGTTATATACTATATTTCCAATAATTCTCATCCATTGAACATTTCATTMATTAATTATGATTTATGAAAAATTCGAAGTAAAACATCAATATTATACAGTTAAAATTAATAGGTACGTAAAAACAGAGGCTGAGTTAAAGACCATTTGTCCATTATAAAATTATTTTAGCATATCACTATAGTGGAGCGTTCTCTATGTATAATACTTCGAAAGTTACAAAAATGGATGTATTTTTTGTAATGTATTATTGAACATATACTGTATTATATCCTTCTAATATATGAGTTAAAATATRGATTACTTTATCTAGAATTCTAGAATAATATAATTGTCAGTTATTAGTTTATTACTTATTACAATAATAATATCTGATACCTATTATACCTAGTAGCCAATAGTATATAATACTGTAATAATATGATAAACTACATAATGCATAAATTAAAATTACTGTTCGTCTATTTGGATACTGTATGCTATCATGATTCAATCATTGTAAATTGGTAGTAGGTACTTATAAAACGTTTATTTATAGCTCCTGTATTTAAACGTTTTCAAGAATATTCTCCTTTAATTTTTAAATTTATTACAATAATATTGTTACAGCATAAAAAGTTAWTATTTATTTTACCCGTCAACATTGCTGACTTGTAGAGTAAATTATCAATGTAGTTAACAAATAATATAATTATTAGCGTTTTTAAATAGGTATTTTGGAAGTTATTCAATCGTCATTCATACTAATATAAAGAGGAATCACCCATGACGAGATGYTTACTTACCTACTAATTACTACTAGTATACCTACCTATTACCAATTAAAATGAAACAATTCATTAAATAAGTAAAATGATAATAAAAAATACTAGGTAAATAGAATTAAGATTAAATATGTACAATATAAATATGAACATTGAACTGTTTAATTATTTAAGCACATTATACATATTACAGAYATTAGCAATTATTGTATATTTATATAACTTCAAAAATATACCAAAGACCATGGACATTTTTCTTAAAATTYCAGAGGCGCTACAGCCTTCATTGCCACCCCTGGTTATACGCCACTGATACGTCATATTGATTCGTTTTGGCCTTTTATTACTTTTATACAAGTGTTTTCCTAATAAACTACAGTACTTAAAGTTATTCGATAATTCGAAATTCAAGGGACTGAGTTAAAAATTTGACTTATAGAGGTTTTTGATTTAACAAGTGTTCGAATAATCGAAGGATAAAAATTAATTCAAATCAAAAAGAGGTGAAAATTGWATGTATGTATACATATTACATTTATTTATTATAAATACATATTATTATATTTTACAATTATTAATTGACATTTATTTACTATATTATTATATTTTACATATTAAAGAAATCTGTTATTATTATTATTTTTTTTTTGTGATAAATTGCTGGACACAATCTGATCCATAGCGTTGCCTAACTTACTGGTCGCAAGATTTTGATTCGAATTATAGAGGTTCGTGAAATAAAAATCCGAATTGTAGAGAGAGTGTGTTCCACCGACAGGACATTTCGAATTATCGAGGGGACCGGAATACATGTATTTTCTTTTAATTATAGAGGTTTTCTCAGGGGACTTTGCGTTTAGTTCGAATTATGGAGTTTTTCGAATTATCGAGCGACTACTGTATAGTACAAATATTGATGGTTATAATTTAGGTACAACTGTACAAGTTAAACAATAGATACTTCGAATATATTATGTTGCCAGATCGAGCAACAAAGCTACAAAGCTATACTGTATTATGGG